AGCGGGTGGTGGGAGAGGTCGCCCCAGAGGAGTGATGGCCAAGGGTGTGCAGGGGAGTGGGGGTCCGGGCTGTGGGTCCCTGGCGACCCTGAGGGGCTGGAGGAGGGAGAGCCAGGTGAGCGCTGGGACAGGCAGAGGGTGCCAGGGGGGCGACGGGCCTGGTGCTGGTGCAGGCGCTGGCAGGCAGGTGGACACGGAGGCCCAGAGTGCCCTGGGGAGGAGGGTGGGACAGGTGACTCCCTGGAGGGGGACAGGCGGGAGGGGAGGCAGGCGGCGGCCCAGACCAGCTCCCAGGAAAGGCCAGGCCATGCTGGACAGTCTCTGATCAGCCAACCCCCAGGCAGGCTTCGTGGCCCAGAGAGCAGAACTGACCCCCCACCCCCAATTCCAGCTGGAACCCAGGGAATCGCAGGCCTTGGGGAAGCCACAGGACTGGACATGTGGCCACTGGGTGGCACCGACTCCCCATGCATGGCCCGGTCACCCAGAGAGCTGCCCCTCCCACCCTGGCCTGTGGGCACAGGTGTCCCCTCCCCGCATGAGTGCCATGGGGGAGGGGGATCCTGAGGAACTGGGCAGCGCCGGGCAGTGGAGGGGGGCTGTGTCCCTGCAGCGGGCAATGCCCCTCCTGGCCCCGTGTCTGGGCCTCTGTGGGCAGGCCTGACCTCTCGGGCAGCGTGCCGCTGGCTCTCCCCATCTCCGCGTCTCAGCTCCGCGCCCTGCGTGTCTGTCTGTGTGGGGGACACAGAGCTGCCAGCCCCAGGCTGGGGGACCCTGAGCTCCTCGAGGGGCCTGGAGTCTGGGGGTCTCGGCAGGGACGACATAAGCTCAGGCAGGGGACCGACTGGGAGCCCACAGGCCTTCACCGCCGACGCCGTGGTGCCTGCTCTGGGGTCCCACATGGGGCCCCCTGGCCCCCTCACTGCACCCCCCACCAGGCAGAGCGAGTCAGGCCGAGCTGCGCCTGCAGTTCCTAAGGGTGTCCCTTCTGCTGGCACCTCTTCCTCCCACCCT